AGAGAGAGAGAGAGAGAGAGAGAGAGAGAGAGAGAGAGAGAGAGAGATATGAAAAAACAGCTAAATCCAGACAGATGCTTCATGAGGCAAAATTTTGGTTCACAAAGACAGAAGTCAAGTGATCCACATCTAAAGAGCACAGATGGGGGGAGAGAGAGAGAAGAAGCAAGCGGAGGCTAACGGAGCACATGGAGTGGGATGCGAGCATGACACGACCAAGTCGAAGAATTAGCACAGGGAAGAGCATATGAGAGTGAGTTAGACTCACACTGACACCCAATGTGCAGCCCGCGAGGAGCTGGGAGGAATCCAGCTGACAGCGCATTAGAGTCTCTGAGACGCACATCGACAGAGGCAGTGAAATACATTCAAGTACACGCTTAAAAACATATACATGCAAAAAAAACCAAAGCATGTGTAATGAGAGGAGGGGAGGGGGGCGATCATTTGCACACAGTGCTTCAACTCTATCAGACATGCATGCAAGCCTTGACATAAACAGGCTTCTATGGAGCAGCCAGATTAGACAAATACACTGTCTGATTTGTCAGAGCAGAGCATTCTCAGGAGGCTGTCAGGAAAACATGCACTCAAGTGGCTCTGGAAGAGGGGGGGAATCGGGAAGCTGTTGGAAATCTGTAAATGTGTCACTTGGCTCACTGCAGGTTACTGACTTATTTACTTTCCCAGCACATTAATATCATTATTTTGCGGTCACGAATTGTCCTCATGACATCATGACTCTGACAATGCTTTAGTCAATCAAACAATGGCTGCTTCTAATGACTCACTCGTAGTCAATCCCTTTGAGGACCAGTGAAGTACCCCAGTCATAAATGTAAAATGCTCTGAGACGCCACAAACCATCGTCTCTGCTGCTTCCTGGTAGGTTTTAATTGCTGCTGAATGAATGTAAAAGTCGGAGGGAACCATTTGGTGTTTTGATGATCCTTGGGAGAGAAGGTTTGAGATCTAGTAAGTGGCGAAAGACGGTTTTGACATTCATCAAACCACTCAGGGATGATTCAAATTGGTGGTTATTTCAGAAAAGATTGTTCCTGTCAGGATAGTTGATTTTTTTTTTTTTCATATGATGAAGGTGATAACATACCCTGTGGGGTGTATAAAGAGACTGTTTTAATCTGCATTTCCTCCCTCATGTACCATACAACACCAGCATCCTTGTTCATTTTGAAGCCTGTCTTTAACTTTGTCACTCATCCAAATGATCCTAATCTCTTTCACAGTCATTTCTAATAGGCTTTTATTCTCTTTTTCTATATTATATAAACAATTATATTGAACTTCATTCCACAATGCCGCATATTGTCATGCATTTCAGGAAGAGGTTGTTTTTTAGATACAAAATATGTTTTCTTTCTTGCAGTACGCCTTTTATGTTTACATTTCTATTTTCATATTGATGAGCTATTGTTTACTTTCACGTTCCTGCTTTGTATTATGTTATTGTATCTTTCATTTGCATAGCAACTAGTCCATCCATTTTTATGTTCTTGTGTTTTTTTTCTTTTCTTCTTCACTTGTTTTTATTTCTCCTGTTCAAACAGATAAAAAGATTTCTATTGAACATGCAAGCCATCGTAAGTTCACCTTCCCATGACTTCATTCTTTCACTGTTTCATACCATATTGTTTGTGTTTGTACCATGTGTGTGTGTGTCTGTCTGTCAGTGTGCTAATACAGATGAGGAGTCCTAACATCTGTGTTAGCAGGTGAAGTGGAGTGTGTGCAGCGTTTTGTCTATCCACACCTTGTTGTCATCTCAGATTGAGTTCAGTGAAGACACGCCTTACCTTCTTGTCAAGCCTTCTTATGAGTGTTGTAACCCCGTCTTGTCTTTTATGTTGACTAAGTGTAGCATAGGTTTCTTAGCTGACTCCATGTTATCATGGTTACATAACTTTTTCTTTTCTTTTTACATTTTTGTTTTAACTTACTCTTATTTGTTTGTTTGTTTACTATATTTTACTGCATATTTTCTATTTTTAAATGATGTCTTATACTCTTGCACTTTATTTACTGCTATGCACTATTCACCTAGCCAAATTCCTTGTATGTGTAACGTACTTGGCAATAAACAGTTTCTAAAGCTGCTTCTGATCCTGATTTTGATTCTGATAGCAGTTCACTGAAACTGAACGGGAAACAAAGATAGAATTACAGCAAAGATTAATAGTTGTTGGTGTAATTCAACAAATTGCCCCCAAAACAGTTAATCTGTCTCTAACCCAACATGTTAAAAAAAAATCTACAAGCTCTGTTATGAAGGGAGCAAACTGACATGCCTCTAAACTGAACCCCATTAATCTGTAGGCTATGAGGTAGGAGCATAGCACTTGCTGGAGAAAAACAGTTGATTTATGTCTGACTTTCAGTTAATCTGTGATATAGTTTACATTCGAACTGATGGTAATTCCTCTAGCTCAATGTGATGTGGGCTCAGGGGAGATGGCTGTCGGATTCGGTTCCATCGCGCCACGTGAGCACGGGAGCTCTCTTCTGCCAGCCCGTCTGCCTCCGGCTTTCCTCTCCTCCACCCCCTCTTCTACTCTCACTGCTGCTCTGTAGTGTCTGTTTCCTCCAACTTCTTCCTCCCTCTCTCCTGCTCTTTTAACATGGGCCTTTTCCTAAAGCACCGCCATCCTTATCTCCCCTCTCCTCATCACCACACTTATAATCCGTCTGTCCCCTCAACAAATCACAACCTTATCTTACTCCTTCCTATCTTTTTTGGCAAATTGCCTTTCCTCTAGCTCTCTCCTCCTCTGTTTATTCTGCCTCCTCTTCTTGTTCACTCTTTTTTTTTTTTTTGTCTCCCGCCAACCTTGGTCATTGTCTGCTCCTCTTTTCTGCTGGGGTGTGAATGGCTCACGTGTCTGAGTTGGGTATGACTCTGCTAGTGTTGGGCTGTGGTGGGCCTGATGACCAGTCACAGCCAATCACTCAGCAGGAGAAAAGATAGGGAGCCCAACAGGGAGCAGGTGAAGTTGTGGCCAACCACCCATCCCCCACCAGTTCGATCCATGCAGACTTTAGTTGTCAGATGCACCCCCCCTGCAGGCTAGGAGGAGCTGTTTATTATTGTTGCTTTCCTCAGTGATTCCTTTAACAAAAAAAAATGTAGCTTTAGCTAGAATCAAATTGAGCACCGGGTATATCCTAGCAGGCATACTGCCAGACTTATAGACTAGTATTGTTTTTTTCAAGTCTATCTAAAAGCAACACACACACACACACACACAAGTATACTGAAAGAGTTATCAGTCACTGTGATTATTTCTCCTGTCCATACTGGCTGTGAAGTTATCCCCTCTCTATGAAACAGATGACGGACAAAATTCAAAGTCCTGTGTCTGTGTAAAAATGCATTTTAAAGTTCAACTAAAGCTAAAATGAGGCTTCAACAATCTGACTTGGCATACAGTGAATATTTTCCAAGGATGTACCAATCCAACTTTTTCTCTCCTGATACCAATGCTCTCTTTCTCCCAACTTTTAAATTCATATACCCGACTGCATGGAACTCATTGGCTTCATTTGCATAAGGTAACGCGATGCAAGCCTAAATCAGTCAATGACTTGTAGAAACAATGAATCGTACAATGACATTGACAAAGTAACTGTATTTAATGTGGATCGTTCACATCATGGCCCTAATGATACCCGATATACCTAAAAAGGATTCCTATTATTTTCTACAGTTACAGTTTTAGGGCTTAATTATCTCCTTTTTATTTCCCGGATAGTGTTTCCTTGCTGAGCTGTGATAGTTTGAAAGCAACACAGAAAAGCAATTAAGCACTAAATATAGTGTAACTTAAGATATACATTGATTTGACGTCGGACTGCTGAAGCGTCACATTAGCGTCATCTAATTCTTATTTTATACAGAACGAGGACAGTGGATTTTGTCCCCCCTTCACTTATACTGGAATCATACTAAGGAGGGATCTCTTTAAGCCCAGTGACCAATAACTACTTCAATGTACATATGTGAGAATGTCAGTATTGTTGACTCTTAAAAATTAAATTTCTACTAAGACGGCCCATGTAAAATAAATGGGCTGCAACCATTGATTGTAATCAGCGAACAATCTAATTGTTATATTTCAAGTAATCATGTAAAAAAAAACCAAAAAAGTCAGTATTGGTGTATTCAGAAGTGGTGTCACAGTTTCCCAAAGACCAACTCAAAATTCCAGTCGTTTCAGCACTTACTTAGACTACGATAACTTACTTACACTTCTTTCTGCTCCAACTGATATGTAGTAAATCAGATGATATATTCTGTGTAAATTGTGTTTTCTTCCCTCTTGTGTTTCCCTTTCATTTGTATCCGTTTGTTTCCACGTGTCTTTGTATGGTGTCTTGACCGTCTGCCTCTCTATCCCTCCTTCAGCGCTGCCCCCAGGTATGGGTGTCGCAGTCTATGCTGGTCTGGTGGGGGCCCTGCTGCTGTGTGTGATTCTGGTGTTATGCGTGGGAGTGCTCGCATATCGCCGCAGATGCCGCCATCTCCATGGAGACATCACCGATTCGTCATCTGCTCTCACTGCCGCCTTCCACCCTGGCAACTACAAGCCTCCCAGACAGGGTGGGTTCAAACACACACACACACACACACACACACACACTCTCGCACATACGCCATCCAGTACATGTTCACAAACAATTTCCTTCCTATCGTTATGTTTGTTTCCCCAACTTTTCTTCTTTTTACTCATCTTAATTGAAGCACTTGTTCATAATTCAGTTCATTAACACACCGCTATTTATATCATCCCATAAATTAATTCTCTTTATACCATTATCTCCTCTCGCTTAGTCAATTCTCTATTCTTTTACTGCATTTTTTTTTTTTTTTACATTTCAAGCATTTGTCACGGTATACCTTCCCTTGTTCTTGCCATTAAATATTAATTAGAAACATTAATCCATTTCACTCACTTTTAGCACTTTCCACCCAGCCTGTGTCATTTCTGTTGATAAGAGAACAGCTCCTCTCCTCTCCCGTGCCCACAGATAACCCTCACCCTCTGCATCCCTCAGCTCCACCGGATCTGACAGCCACAGCGGGGGCTTTCCGTGGGCCGCTCTTCTCCTTGCAGCAGGGGGTCAATGACAGCCCCCACAAAATCCCCATGACCACCTCTCCCTTGCTGGACCCATTGCCAAGTCTCAAAATCAAGGTGTATAATGGCTCCACCCTTTCCTCGCTGAAGCTCCCCGCGGACATGTGTTTAGGTGATGGGGAGATCCTCAGCCTGAAGTCAGTGGGCACTATGGGTAGAGAGCGAGATTACCACAGCCACACCCTCTCCAGAGAGCCTGGGCTGAGCACCAGCGCCACCCTGGGTAATCTGGGAGGACGCCTTACCATCCCCAACACAGGTAATATATATTGCCTGCAGCTATCACATGTCACTGGTTCACACCCAGTGTGTATGACCCATAGGATAAGATAAGTCATGACATCTTCTCCCTTAGGTGTGAGTCTGCTGATCCCCCCTGGCACAATACCCCAGGGGAAGTTCTATGAGATGTACCTTATTATCAACAAGTGGGACAAAACAACGTGAGTGCCCTTCATCTCCAATCCTCTATTTCATTCATCTCCTTCACAACCACAAGGCAGAACAGACCTCATGCTCACCTCAATCAGAATTTGTGTTTCCCATGCACGGCTCACCTACTGCGAACCACTTGAAGTTTGTTTGAAAGTTCTATCATTTTTTTTCTGAGGATAAAAAAATGTATCAACTTCTACACTGAAACTGGAGTATATTAATTTTTTTGCCAATTTTCTGGAAGATCCACATTCAGTTTTTCTCATGTACGTCAATACCAGCATGTTCCAAACCGTGTCGTGGCCATGATGTTCTTTTATAGATGTAGTGTGATGTTTTGGCAACTGTTGCAAACACCTGATGTTCTCCCTCTGTGTATGTGTGTGTATGTGTGTATGTGTGTGTGTGTGTGTGTGTGTGCGTGTGACATTTACAGGCTACCCTCTGAGGGAAGTCAGACTGTACTAAGTCCCGTGGTGAGCTGTGGCCCATCCGGTATGCTGCTGAATCGTCCTGTGGTTCTTACTTTGCCGCACTGTGCCCAGCTAGACACACCTACACCTGACTGGTCCCTCACACTCAAGACACAGACTCACCAGGGGGCATGGGAGGTGAGACATCCTCCGACTGGTACAATATAACGGGCAGCTCGTTGGACGATGTTACATCATTGAACCCTACTTGCATCTGTTTTCAGGAGGTGCTGACAGTAGGAGAGGAGACTTTGTCGTCTCCGTGTTACTTGCAGCTGGAGGAGGAGTGTTGTCATGTTCTCATGGAGCAGCTGGGAACATACGGTCTTGTGGGCCAGTCCTGCCCTCCGCAGCCCGCCTGCAAACGCCTGCAGTTGGCACTGTTCGCCCCTCGAGCACCCTGCCTCTCCCTGGACTACAGCCTTCGTATCTACTGCATCCATGACACCCCACATGCATTCAAGGTGCTGCTTGTGTGTTTGTCATTCTGTTAAAATGTCTGCATTTGTCTGGTCACCTCTCTCCTTTATTGTCCACTTTTCTTCTTCTTGCTTTTTTCCTTTTGTCACATTGCATTTCTGTTTGTTCATTTCTTTGACGTGTGAGTCAATTTGGCATTACTGTACTTTTGGTGTGAGTATTATTAAGTGCTTTACTGGTCATTTATTTCAAGCATACAATAGACTAGATGTTTTAAAAAATGTAAATATATCTATCAAGTCAGCTTTAGTTGTAACGTACAGCTAAAATAGAGCTTTGTTTGGTCGTAAAGAACATTTAACACACTAAAATATACACAAAATAAAAATCAAAACAAAATTACCCATCCTATTTGCCCAAATCAAATTCTGGTATTACATTGAATCTCCCTTACCCACTAGAAACAACAACTCTAAATAGTACAGCACAATACAAACCCCCAAGTAAACAGCAAGTGCGCACTCCATCCAGAGAAATTTGGACTCGCTAACGTTCGATTTTTTTCCCTCTCTCAGTCCCTTATGTATAAAGTGTTCACACACCAGCCGGGGTAGTAAACATGAGCATGCTGTGTGCATTTTACTGGCATCACACTACATGATTTCTGGCTGATAAAGTTCAAACAGCTTTCAGACTGTTAGCTCTCACACATTTCCATTTGGAGACCTCAACTTAGAGAATGCACAATGCATTTTAATTAAGTATTTTTGAAAACCTGTTTTGAAATGTGTTAGACTGATGAACCCATGATGACATAAATGTGTTCCAAAGCCCTTCTTCTCTCTGCCTCTCTGCAGGAGGTGCTGGATTTGGAGAGGAGTCTAGGAGGAGTTTTGCTGGAGGATCCCAAGCCTCTGCTGTTCAAAGACAGCTATCACAACCTGCGCCTGTCCATCCACGACATCCCTCACACTCACTGGAGAAGCAAACTTCTGGCAAAGTATCAGGTAGATAACAGCCTGTTGATATGCATCGTGTCTATAGATTATGTTCATGCCTACAGAGCACAAATCAGCAGCAGCTTGAATGATGTGGATCCTTAAAACTATTAATGAATTGTCAGTATCACTTCACGCCTAAGATTCACTAGTGAATGTGCTTCTAAAGAAGCACAGCTCGTCGACTAGTCACTTCTGTTGTAAACAAGCTCTACGCTGCATTCACAGCTGCAACGAGATTGCAGTCTGAACCCCCTCTGAAAAAAAGAAATGGAGAAATCTGATACTGGTCCTAATTTATGGACAGTTCGCTGAGGTAATAAATTGTCTTCTGGCAACCAGACCTAGTTGGTGGAAACACCCGATATCGATATAAAGCATATTGCGATTTCCTCGACTGGAAACTGTCTTCTAGATCTTTCCTGATTGTGCTGTTTAGGACAAAATAACTTGTATCACATTGCAGAGACCATGTTTTTTCAGCTTTCCTTCTTGACATTTGTCTGTGTTAACAGGAGATCCCATTCTATCACATCTGGAGCGGCAGTCAGAGACCCCTGCACTGCACCTTCAGCCTAGAGAGAGGAAGCCTGGCTGTGTCGCAGCTCACCTGTAAGATCTGTGTCCGACAGGTGGAAGGGGAGGGACAGATATTCCAGCTTCATACGGATATTCAGGAGGTAATGGTCACAGCTTAGATAATGCAAACGCAGATACAATTGCAATGTAAGCCACACAGTTTTGCCAAAAACAAAATACAGAGGTTGGTCTCAATGCTTCCCACCTTCTCTGTCGATCCAGACTCTACCCCCGCACTCACCCCTCCCCTCAGGAGGCACCTGCCTGCCTTCCTCTCAAGTGGGACCCTATGCCTTTCGCTTGCCTGACTCCATCCGCCAGAAGATCTGTGCCAGTTTGGATGCACCCAGTGCTCGAGGATGTGACTGGAGACTCCTGGCACGCAGTCTGGGCTTTGACAGGTCAGATCCGCCTCACATGTATGTGTGAAAGGCAGCTTGGTCATTCACGAGTCCAGTGTTGATACTCAGGTTCCTAGTTCCTACTGTCAAGTGATAACTCAGAGGTGTGTATGAGAAGGCTTGAAGCTATTCTCTGTCTGAGGTTAGATGTATGGGGTTATGTTTTTAATTTTTTTTATGTCGACAGGCAACTGTGGAAAACATCGGGTCATATCCTTGTCATACTGATAAGAATCTTGAAAACAAGACTTGAATATTAACTTCAGGGATATGATTTAGCCGTGCATGTTATACATTGCTTAATACAAATACATTGAGAACATATTTCACATTGCTAATTGGCTAATCCTGATTTGTAAAATATGGTATATAATATGGTCACTGGGGCCTTTATTTTGGACTGTCAAAAATAAGTATTACCAGCAGTATTTGCCACATACAGTTTTAATGACTTAAAAATGTCTATAATCAACAACGGAGAGCTTCCTTTACTCTTCTTACAACTTGTCTTTCTTTCCCTCAGGTACTTGAACTACTTTGCAACAAAGCCCAGCCCCACAGGTGTTCTACTGGACTTATGGGAAGCTTGTCACCAGGCTGACGCAGACCTGGTCTCTCTGGCGACTGCGCTGGAAGAAATGGGCAAAAGTGAGGTGTTAGTTGTCATGACAACAGATGGGGATTGTTGATTGGTCAAGGAACAAGAGAGCAAGCCAGACTTTTTTTTTTTTTTTTCTCTCCACCGTGATGGAAATAAGAACACCTGCCGATGAATATGCACAAACCATAAGCCCACAGAGCATTTTGGTTCCGTCACATGCAATGTATTACCTCTGCCTCATCTTCCTTTTCACTGACCCCCGATCAGCCACTGTAGCGACATACCCACCGTAACCCATTCCTATGATAACTGCTATACTGATGCTGCCTGAATCCTCCAAAGTAATGTTGCATCTGCAAGATGTGAAACCAATTTGAGGGTACGAAAGCGTAAAATGGGTGCAAAGTAATGTCATATGTTGTGTTGACTGTCGTCTTCAAAGATTGAAAATTACGCTATTTTTGTATATAAATAACAAAAGCTTTGGGACAAACAAACAAAATTCATGTATTCAATACTAAAGCACGCACAATAACACAAACAGACAAATGCTAACACGGGATTAGCCATGTTTCAGTTGCAGCATGAAAGTGCATGATTTAACACCATCTCACCTCATGGCAGGGGCTTTTGTTTTCTGCATTGTCATTCTGTGTGTGCAGTGAATGACAGGCAGCGCCAACCTGTCTAAAACCTCCTCAGGCTATAGACACACTCCAACACACACAGACAAACTGGTCATTAACAGGCTCTGAATCAGACTTGGATTTCTTGTCCAACCACTTGGATCGTCAACAAATCCCATGAGGTCCGAACCCTCAAGGTCGGAGGGCTTGAGCGTGTCGCATTGCGCTTGAAAAAGAGCGGCCTCTTAGTTGTGGTAGGGTGGTGAATTGTGACGTTCATTTAAGAATTTACGGATACCTTGACCGACGGACTCTTTATCTTGTACGAACAAATGCCTCAAAGCCTTGGCATACCATTCCACCTCACGGGAAGGGGGGGTTCCTCTTTCTTCTATCGCTCTGCCACACTCCTCCGATCTGTTGAGAATAAACTGCAGAAGAGCTTTCTGGTCATCCGTTAAAAGTTTCCTTTGGGGAACGCTCTTTAAGTTATTATCCATATTTGTGGATTTTTTTTTAATTTCATTGTCATTGCTGTCACGATCATACAGAACCTGTTCTATCATCGGTGCTTATTTAGGCTGCTGAGCTGCTGTGTTTTTTTTAACTCTAGTAATGCAGGCCAAATGGGAGAGCTATGTGCTTAGTGGATCTCTCAGTTGTGAATAACAAAACCATGTGTGTTTGTTATTTTTAATACGGTGCATCTATTTCAAAATGTAAAATGTATTCTGTAAAACATGATTAGAGGCGGTCAAATGTCCAGGTGAAAATACTGTATGCTGTATTTCTTAGGCATTGTGCTTTGCTGTAACTGAGGGCAGTTTTCCATTGTTCAGAGATGAATATTACAGAGTAGATTAGCCTTTCCTTGAATCAACTAGGCACCAAGGGACCATAAAATTGACCTCAACACTCATACATTATGTTTCAATCTATTCTCTGTCCACCACTTATCTATGTGTCCATCTGTCTATCCATCACCCTGTAACTCATTATGTCTCCCTTGTCTCATTTTTATAACATATTGTTAACCATTTTACTAAGCCGCCTGCTTTGTGGTCAGGGTCCTCAAGCTTTTTGCATTATCGATATTGTTCTGTCAGTTATTGTTAGACAGAAATTGAAATACCTTCATCTTTTAACTTTGTTAATACTTAAGTTCTGTGTGTTTTTGAGTCTTTTTCTCCCTCAAAGCAAAACAAGTGTTTGTATCATTGAAACCACAAAAACCAAAACACAGGCAGTATCCCCCTCTACAGCAGTGAGTCATGTCACTGTTTTGTGTGAATGAACTGAAAACACACTTGTGTGTGTGTGTGTGTGAGTGTGTGTGAGTGTGTGGGTACGTGTGGGCAGGTGGGTGTGCACGTACAGTGTGTGCACACGCTTAAGAGCTGTCATTTCTCTTTGTAAGTGCTATGCAAGTACAAAAGAAAAGTGAAGCATTTTGACTTCTTTTGTTTCCTGGAAGAGTAATTCTATTTTTTCAGATCAGGGCATTGACAGGGTTTTGATTTTGTATTCTTGAGTGGTTTAACATTTTTGGTTACAGTGGTATGTGTGGGAATTCTTCAACTGGATCGGAAGGATTGGATCACTGACCAAGAGAGTTACTATTGAAAAAGCCCATATGGTAGAAGAAAACAAAGTGCGGTACAATGGCTACAAAACAAGTTGTGACTAATACCATGAACTCGTGCCCTGCAGGTCTTTGTCTGTGAGGAAATAACTGAATGCAACCGGTTCAGAACTTTGGATCCCTGAACATTGCAGGACTATTTTTTTTCGTTCCTCAAATCTTGTTACAGAGACTGGCTAGCTGTAGACTACAGTGTTTATTCGTCCAGATTTCTCGAGTATCTGTTGGATCTTTGGCTATAGCTCTGGATCATTTATGCTGGAGCCGGACTGGATTCTTCCTTGCTCCAATAAAAGAGAAATATTTAGCCTTTGTTCACGAAGTCAGACATTTTTATGAAAAAAACCTAAATGGATTCAGTGACTTTATTTTAACTCTGTAAAGTATCAATTGTAAATATACGTCTAGCCTTCTTACCTGTAACTAAATATAATTTTTATGCAATAAATTATATTTCTTAGTTTAACAATAGTCTGTGTGTTGTTGTTATTGAATTAAAACATGCAAAATCAAAGTTAATACAAGCGACTTTCATAAAATCCATAGAGCAAACTGCAGGCTTCTTTGGAATTTCTTGGCAGGAAAAAGAATGTCATGTGTTTTTATTAATTACACCCCATTTTCACAGCACATAGAGAGCTACTCAGCCTGTCCCTCTTTTCCTCACACCTCATTGGAAAATTCCCTTTAGGTCCATTTAGCTTTGAAAGCTTTTAACAAGCAGGCTGTCCAGCCTTCAAATGAACAAGGTTTTAGAGGCTAATCGTGTCCTTTAAGGATTGACTCTGGGCGCTGGGAGCATTCTAACCTTGTGTTTTTTTTATTTATTTTCTTTACGACCGCAGGATGTGTAGGGATTTGTCAGATTAGACTCTTATATTGCGAGCAAATATCCAAATGAGTCATCTCTAGTGAGAGTGCACTGCAGTATTGTCTTAATGGCAGGCAACACTTTGCACCTGTTTCATTAGATGCACTGCTAATTAAGGACTGACATGCCACCCTTCGGTGCATGACCTAATTGAACCTTTTGCAATGCATACAATGATGGGACAGTAAAAACCGGACTGCAGCTTCAACCCACCCCTTCACATCTAAACAGGACCTTTTTGTTACTTTTGAGGGAATAAATCGTCAGTAAGAATATTATTATTTTGAAGGTGTGTAAAAACTATTTTGAGAACATGTGATGCCAGTAAATGCACACACCTGCGTGACGTACAGCATTTACAACAGATATTATTCTGCATTATGAAATGATAATAGTATTTTTTGAGTCTGCACAATTAGATCTGTTGTTGCCAGGGGAAAACGGCAGTTCAACAGCTGTGAGTTGGAGAACCCTTTACATTCAGGCAGTGATTCATTTGATGATGATTAGTTTAGTACAGTGGTGTCCACTCGTGTCACTGACAACCAAGAGTCTGCAGGTTTTTACTCCAGTCAATGACACAAAACCACCTGGTATCATGTTTGACTGGAGAGAACCTAACGTCTTTTATTCTTCTTGGTATTGTAATTGTTTTCACATTCCAGAGAGGCGCAGTAACACGCTATATGCTGTCCTATGGTGCCCTCACCTGGTAGATATGATGGGTAACCCACACTTCTCAACAAAAGCTAGTACACACATATTTATTTGAATATAATTATTGTTCTTATTGTTATTATATTGTATTTTTTTATTGATATTTATTTTAGTATTCAAGTTCTTTCTCTTATTCTATGACACAGAAATATTACTATGTACTGTCACTCAAGGAAGGGTGGGTTAAGGATCGTAAAGGGCACGGGTGATTGTAATGTCAATTACAATCTGCCCAAAATACTGCCCAAAATAATAAAAATGTATTTGAAATTAATGGATTCATTACCTATTAACAAACAATCATATTACGTTAACAGTAGTACTATTGTAGTAATGGCTAATAATCATGTAATAATGTAATGTAACATAGAGTATTAATACTTCAAAGCCACACAGTAGTCGTAGTAGTGTTGATGGTGTAATGATTTGCATGTGATATCTGAAGGTTAGTTTCGCTGTATTAAGCACTTCAAATTGTATGATAGTATTGTATTTAAAGCTTGATTAAGGACATGCTACAAATAATAATTTATTGCAATTGGAGATGATATTTCTTACACTACACTGCACTAGTTTTATCATCATTGATTGATTTAATCACTGGAAATTACTCGGAAATATCAATTTATCTCCAAAAACATAACGTTCTACATTTTATTTGAAACTAAAAGCGTAATTATTATTTTAGGAAAGTTACAGTTAGTTCACTTATTGTGTAAAACAAAAATATATGTATAATTGTATGTAAAGACCCAGCAGTAGAAGATCTGAGTGCTTGTGAAGGATTATAAAACAAAAGAAACTGCAACGAGGCTGCTCCCAAACCATTAACAAATAAATTAACCTGAAACTTTAATGTCTAGCAGTGCAGTTCTGAATGAGTTTAATTAGTTAAATTCACTGTTTATTCAATTCAATTTTAAAATAAAAGCATAAATGGTTTTTTTCAGCATCTTTATATGATAGGAAGGCAATGTTTTTGTAAGTGAAAAAAGCTGTTTTGGTCATGTTCTTGATGTGTTTGGGCAAATTTAACTCTCAACTAAGAACAAAGCCCCAGAACGTTTCTTCTGATTTAATTCCGTGGGCCTTCTTCTTATTCTTCAGCTTAGGGTGACGGCCTTTAGGATTTGCCCTATCTCGTCCTTGTTGTTGGTTGTGTTTTCCTCTTTGCTTCAGGCGATTGGTGGGTGGAGCTGAGAACTCATCGCCCCATGCAGCACACCTGAGCAGGCTGGATTTATGAGTCTATAAAGTAAACCTGCAAGATCTTCCCGATCTCTTCCCCTGGCCTGCCTACTGAGAATGTCGTTTGTTTTGTGCATCGTTTGATACTCATACACACCCTCCTCATCACTCACATTAACACAGACATTTGCCTACAGACTGACTTACTGACAGACATACCCCGTTTTATTCTTTACTTAAGATACTCAATTAAGTAGTTTGCATTATCTACATTTAGACTCTTTAGTCACATACTTTTGAGGTAGGTAGTGACAATAGGGACCAAATACGAGTATTTCAGTTTTTTCTTTGTTTAGTTTCAAGAAGTTGTTGCTATTAATTTTAATGGCATGACTTTTTATGAGTTATAATACATTTACATTTGTATGACTTTTTATTACATTCTACGCTAAGACTTATTTATGCCATACTGTACTATAACTTTTGGATGGCATACAATAGTATAACTTTTCTTGTGACAAAAATGTCTATGATGTTTATGATATACTACACTATATACTATACTGTGACCTTACCGTGATTGTTTGATGGCATAATTTACTTTGACTTTTTTTACATAGTATACTATGACTTTTTAAATGAATTTCTGATGGTATACTACACAATGAATTTTTGATGATATAGTAAACTAGAAAATACATTTCCTGCAGAAAATACGTTGGAATGCTGAAAGCTGAAATGAATCGCAAAACAATTGCTGAAAATATAGAAATGGGAGACTACCTGTCTGAAAAATGTTGAAGGCCAAAAGCATTAAACTGCACTGCTGAAAACCCTTCTAGTTAAAATGTGTAACTGGCAGACTTGGAAGCGAGACTGTATTATCTAAAGAAGTTCAAATCTGAATTACAATGCAGGAAAAGCTGGAAGCTAAACGATTTTACTGTCAAAGGAATAGTAGTAATAGTGGTACTTTGATCCCCAGTTGGAAAAATAACATTTTAACTTGAATTTTTGGCAGGTAATTTTTGTGCACGTTTGTTGTTGTAATACCAATTTTGGCCACAAGAGGCTGAAGCACCTCTACCTCATGTTCTGACTAAAACTAACAGGATTTTCAGGTGAGTTTAAACACAAAGTGCATAAATTATTGTGTTTTATGACGTTTTTTGACATGCTGTACTATGACTAAAAAGTCATAGTACAGCATGTCGAAAAAAGTAATTTTAATTTAATTTTATGTTTTTAATAACTTTTTTCGACATGCTACACTATGACTTTTTATGACTTTATTGAAATACTGTAGTATGACCTATTTCGACATGCTAAAAAATTACTTTTTAAAGAATTTTATAGTCATAATATACTATGACTTTTTTGTGATATACTACTCTCAAGACTTTCATGACATACTCTATGACTATGTTTTCAAGCATGGCTTTGAATTCAACGGTCATGTAATTAGAAAGAACATTTAAATCGGCAGTAATGACAATCCTATCAAAGGTCAGTACAATGGAGGCTGTAAATTCAGAAAATTCACAAATTAAAGCATGGATTGGTTTTGGGAGGTTATTAAATAACAGTAAAGACAACTGGATCTGTATCACAAATGTTGACCACTTTGTACCTCAAAGCTGAAGAAATAGTCAATAGATACTGGACTGCATTTAAAATTATGTTAAAAATTGCAAGACACCTTGGCCACATTGCTAGGCCTATGTACTTTTATTGTTTGTGTCTGTCTTTTTATGTATTTGTCTCCATGGACCCTGAGTCTGAAATAAAGTCTATCTATCTATGTATCTAACATAAGAACATAGAAATAAGGTAAATTTGTAAATAGGTGCTTTTATTTTACAACCGGAAAAGAACCAAACTTCCGGTATGTGGGTTGGCTTTCCAAATAATAGCGTGTATTATTAGATTTGTGTTTATTTTAAAATACAAAGCTCAGGCCTGGGCTATAATCAGTATCGCGTAAATGCAAGTTGTGTTGTTATTGGGTAGAATATACGTTTTTTAAATCAAACTGGTCCAGATTTGTGAAGAGAGAGCTTTTAGTCTGAAGGATTCGTGCCGGAGAGGGTATTGTGGTTGCTGCTGTCAGCTGACCAGAAATGAAGTTTGCTGTGATATGGATGTTTGTGTCAGTCTAACACTTGTAGAAAACACAGGAGCAGCAGTCAAGGAGGTGCAACTGTGAGGTATGTTTATCTTTTATTTAATGAGCCCAACATCACGCACGGGTCGGAGCAGTTGGTTAGCCAACTGCTACGTTTGTAGATAACTTGTACAAGGCTGGGATTCAGATTTAGCTAAAATACTGTTTGTTTGTTTACAGCCGTGTCCGCACGTAACAAATAAAACTTGATCTGCTGTCTATTCGCCTGAAGACCGTGGCAAAATGAGCAGAATAATTTCGCAATTAATAATGATAACATTTTGCCCGCAGTGGCCCGAGGAATGCCTCTGAATGAACAGCCCAGTGTAGCCTGACGTCCGTGAAATTGGTTTTCGTCATGTGATTATTGGTTCCTTATTAGTGGCACACGTGATGCTTTTAGGACGCAAGGTCAGCTTTGTTTTTGTCATGTCAGCCTTCCTTTAACCTCCTTAAATAGTTTCACTAACAACATCCCATTGTGAAAGCAAGTGGTGCTGGTGAAAGTCTGTTATTTCTGTTTCTGTCTGTGGCAGAAATGGGACGCGTGCAGGTGTGAGATGAAACTGTAGTTCTCACAATCACACGTAAGAAATTATTCGTGGTAAATGCTGAATTAGTTGATGTATGCGATGAAGCATTTAACTTTGAAGAATGCCTCCGTTCGTGGGAATTGCCAAGCCCTGACTCCAGTCATTGCAAGCCCAGGACAGATTCCTGCTGCAGGAGAGCACTGGGTTCACACACTGCTGCCAACTGATTCCAATGAATGATAATCCTCGGGGTGAAACGTGACTATTTGCATTGCAGCATGTCAGGATCTGGACAATTGGAATGGTCTCTTCCAGCTGCAACACAGAGATCTCTCCAGAATATGGCTCCAGAACAAGTAGTGTGTCTTTTCCTTTCTGGACAAGCACAAGTAAATGTAAGCATCATACAAGCCCACTTATTACAATACCGTTATTATTTGTGACTTTATTAACTTGTTTTTTCTTTCTTCCTCTTCTTCACAGCTTTATTTTTAACACTTCCTGTCTTCGTGTTCAACCACAATCTTCCCTATTCTCTCTCTCATCTGTCCTTTGAGAGTATCTGTGAAAATGGACGACACAGAGCCCTTGGAGCCCAATCTGAACTCCTCCTATGTTCCGACTGCTCTGGGCAACCACCGTGTGTCTGAGGATGAGGAGAGCGAGGACCAGAGTTCCTCTGTATCACTCCTGCCCAATCATTCCTCAGTGCCCCTGGCCATGCGCTACAGTCCAGATGACTCGTACTGCTTGGTGTATATCATCTTCTTTCTGATGGGCATCGGCTCCCTGCTGCCCTGGAACTTCTTCATAACAGCCAAACACTACTGGCTCTACAAACTGAGCAACAACACTCAACAAGGTGGCAATGAGGAGCAACCTTCAAACCTCGGGGTGAGTACAACTACGACTACGACTATTATGTGCATGTGCGCACACAGGAAGGTGCGCATTTGTACAATTCTGCATGCTTTTTATAGAACCGTCACGGTCCTGTGACAGACGTGAGGACTGAGTGTCCTATCACATGTCTGAAAGGAATCCATCGCCACACAATTAGAAATGCCAAGACGCTCGTTGAGGGTAACTAAGATGAAGGCCTAGTGGGGGGGGAGATCTGCTTCCTTTGTTTCAAGAATGGAGGAATTCTATAGATTTCTGCTATTGGGAGATTAATGCTTGATTTTATTTGACAGGGACCAGGGCAGAGATGAGGATTGTTACATGTTGTGTGAGAGTGCGTGGTCTTCTATTCAAGCGAATTTAAATGTTTTGTCTTTTCACTAACTATTTACAGGAATACTTTGAAAGCTATCTGGCCATTGCCTCCACGGTTCCCTCTGTGCTGTGTCTGATACTCAACTATGTCCTAGTTAACAGGTTAATTATCACACTCACACACACACACACACACACACACACACACACACACACACACACAC